AATGAACACAAATTCAAAGATCTGCCATGTGCTAATTCATGCGATAGTGGCAGATAACTTATAGAGGGTTTCAGGCTAAGGATACAAAGAACGTATTTACATAGCCAAACCTGAAGGAAGGCTACACGCTCAGCATGAGTAGGTTCAGAATGGGAAGCAGTATAAAGGCCTTGCATGCTCGAGTAAGATTCAACAACTTTCTTGTCAAACTTTGGGGCAACATTGGAAATCAAAATGTTAGGGTATCGCCTGAGGCCGGAAGAATCACTAAGGCTCCAACATCCCTTAGAGTAATAGACATTGGGCCAAGAGGGAAAACAAAAGTGTTATACTCAGAAGACCAGAAACTCAGCGCGATTACAAAAAGCATTGGGTCAAAAGTTGGGGGAAAAATGGTAATTTATAATAGGTCCAAAATCCTAGCACGATCAAAAATTATTTTGGTGGGACCATGATTTTCCATACGTGTATGGGATGTGATCCGAGTAAGGGCTCCTATGGTGGAGTGGGCGAAATTGATATGGCATAATGCTCTTCCTAAGAGGGCTTCAGTTGTGATATGGAAGGCTTTGTCCGGGAGTCTCAGTTTTGATGATAGAATACGTCAAGTTGGAGTGGCTATGGTGTCTAGATGTAACTGTTGCATTACTGGCCATGAGGAGGATGCTTACCATGTTTTAAGCACTGGAGACTTCGCAGATGAGGTGTGGATGAGACTTTCCTTGACTCTTGGTGTTAGGTGGCGTGAAAAACAAGCCTGGTGGGATAGAATAAAAATTTGGTAGGCCCGAGCTAAAAGATCCTCTCAACTATGAGGCAAACATGGGTTAATCCCATGTTTAGTAACTTGGGGGCTTTGGATTCAAAGATGTAGAGCAAGGATGGAGGAATTATATGAATCAGTCAAAGATGTTGTTCTGTCCATTAACTCTTGGCTGCAGCACTTGGCAAATAATGTTACAAAGACCAGAGTATTAACACGTGAGGAGGAAAAGACCCTAACAGACATGGGCATTCCTTGTATAGTCGGGAAACAATCACCAGTATGTTTCGTGACTTGGAAAAAACCAATTGCTGGGAGAGTAAAGATAAATGTAGATGGAAGTAGCTTGGGTAACCCAGGCCGGGCAGGTGGAGGAGGAGTGATTCGTAATTAAAAAGGGATGGTGCTGGCGGCATTTGTTACTAATTTTGGGATAGCGTCGAATAATGAAGCTGAGCTGAAAGCTACTATTGAGGGACTTAAACTTTGCCAGCATATAGGAGCTTTTCATGTTGATCTTGAATGTGATTCCAAGATTGTTGTAGATTTGATGTTGAAACGCAAGTGTACAGTTTGGTACTTGTGGGATTTTTGGGAGCAGTTATGGAAGTTAATGAGTTTATTTGAAATTCACGTTTCACATCAAGTGGCGGATTTATTAGCAAAAATGGGTGCACAAGGTATAACGCAGCTTTTCACATCTAGTACTGGCTTGCCTGTGTATACTCGAGGCCTAGTTCGGTTGGAACGCATAGGAGTTCCCTATCTACGTATGTAAGTTGTGGTCTAGTTTTCTAACCCATTGTCTGTAAGGTTGTCTTGTCACCACGGTATTCCACCGTCATAAGTGAGGTTTGCTTACAATAAAACTTATTTTAAAAAAAAATTAAATGTTTATTAAATCAAGCAGTCTTATATTTAAATTCAATTAAAAAACTGATCTAATACGGGCTTTTCCACATTTTACCTATGAAATTGACCCTAAAAGTAGCAAAATATTATACACAAGTTTTTCTGAATTTTTCAGGACTACCAAGAGAAGAAGCAATATTAATTAATGATATTAATATGATTTTTCAAGGAATTCACTTTAATTTTCTGCACAAGTACACATTTAACGATTTTTTTGACCAAATTAATTGCTGAATTTGATGTATTGATAATATTACATAATGATATCAAATAAAAGCCAAGTATTATTGCAATGAGAAATTTTGCACAAGTCACTTAACGTGTATTTGGTACACAATACTTGAATGTTAGAATTAAGAATAATGCAATCTAATATTACTGGTGTTGTAGTATCTCTAAGAGACTTTTTAATGACAAAATGCTCTTTATTTTAGAGAGTTAATGTTTTAAAATAAGAACTTTTTAAAATACTAGGTGCAAGCAACGTGCAATGCACGTTTGCTTAGTTTATATTTAATATTTTTGTTTAATAATTAATTTGTTATTAATAAAGATGTAATTTTTTTGGTTAATTAAGGGCGTGTCTGGGCGCGCTGCAAGGAGGA